TCTAAACTCTTAGAAATATCCTAACTACATATTGTTTTCCATGTTAGAGCAGAATGATTCTTTTTATCAAAGCAATACAGTAAATAAAACCTGTTTCATCACATTCAAGTTATGGGATGGCAGAGAATAATTCGCTCACTTTCCTGCATGAGATCAGTATGCACCTTTTTTTTTGTGCTTGGAAAAATTTATATGATGTTTGTTTAAAATGGAATGTTTCTATGTGTTGCATTTTCCTGGAACCATGGATTCCTGAGGTAATTAGGATGGAAAGTCATATCAGCAACCATAAAAAAGAACTCCTTTTTGCTTATGTATGGTCATATGAAATTTCTACAGTTATAGCTTAGGTTATTATTTCTGTAACTTGGCTGTTTATGTAAAACAGAGGCTTATTGTTCAAGAATTAGTATCTCTTCTTCTGTTGCAGCTTCTCTTTGGAGAATTATCTCAGGGATGAAGTACAGAAAGCATAGTCCCAGATGGCATATGCTGCATTTATATTGACACGGAAGCACAGAAAACATGTACAGAACTTGCCATCCTGGTAAGTGCCCAGACAGCAGACATAAATCAGACTACAACACACATTTTCCAGCTATTATCTGATTAGGTATGCACCAGGCATACTTCAGCATGCCACACAATCTAGAGCTGTCTTGGGTCTTTCCAGTGAATGGATCAGAACAAAGATGGCATGATGGGCAAACAAGTGATATCTCAAAATGAAGAAGGTAACAAGGCAGCCAAACCAGAATGAAAGGAGGCCTGGTCTAAGTGGAAAGTGTGACAAAGCAGCGCAGGTGCCATTTCTCCCCAAATACTGTCAACAGTTCTTAGAGATCAGAAACATGCCTGAAAGGTAGGTATATGTGTAACCTCTCTGATTTGAGAAGCAGTGCATCTATCAAATCTCTATTTCAAATTATGCTGCCCCTTTACAGGAAGGCACCATTATTCCCCTCCTCTTGCATTCTCTTCTGCTAATATCCAGAATCCTATAATTCATCAGTGCAGAAGATTCTGTAGAAGACGGGGCCCTGAATGCAGAGAACAATCTCCTAGTTTTGGAATGATTGTCAGACCTCATGCAATTTCCATGGCTCTGTGATCCTTCAGAGGCTGCATTTCCTTGGGCATAGGGAGAAAATTTACACCTTCACTTAATATTTTGAGCCATCTTTCTTAAATCAGAAAACTAAAAAGCATGAAATTTCATGAGTGTATTGTGTGTCATGGATTATAAATATTGAATTTATTATATAGAAGATTGCATGATGTATTAGTTTTCTATTGCTGCCAAAACAAACTGTCACACACTTCACAGTATAAAAAACCCACATTCATGACCGTACAGTTCTATAAGTCAGAAGTCCAACAGGTCTCATCAAGGTGTTAGCAGGTTGCATTCTTATCTGGAATCTCTAGAGAGAATCCATTTCCTTGCTCATTCAAGTTGTTGGCAGAATTCAATTCCTAATCATTATAGAACTAGCATTTCCATTTCATTGGTGGCTATTCAAAGGCCACTTAAGGGGCGCCTGGGTGGCTCAGTTGGTTAAGCGACTGCCTTCGGCTCAGGTCATGATCCTGGAGTCCCAGGATCGAGTCCCGCATCGGGCTCCCCGCTCGGCACGGAGTCTGCTTCTCCCTCTGACCCTCCCCCCTCTCATGTGCTCTCTCTCTCTCATTCTCTGTCTCTCAAATAAATAAATCAATTAACTAAAAAAATAAAATAAAATAAAAAGTAGTAAACAAAGGCCACTTGACTCTTTGACTCTTTGAAGCCACTGCTTCTTCCATCTTCAAAGCCAGTAACTTTGGGCCAAATTCCTCTCATGCTTCAAATCTCTCCTACTTCTTCCCTTGTCACATCTCTCACTGAGTTTTCTGTCTTCCTCTTCCACTGAAGAGTCCATGTAATTACACTAGAACTACCCAGGTAATTCAGGATAAAATCCCTTCTTTAAGTCAGTAATCAGCAATCTTAATTACATCTTAATTACATCTGCAAAATCCCTTTTGCTATGTAAGGTAACATATTCAGGTTCAGGGGATTGGGTGTAGACATCATTGGGGGACCTACCACACACACTTATAAAATTCTCTTTTAAAATATTTACTCACATAAAGACTGATTTTTATGAACTGGCACAATCAGTACTAGACACATTGTTTTCCTATAAAATATCGGTTATTATTTATTTTGTTGGAATTATCTACTGTTAAAGAAGACAGCAAGCCCAAAATGGAGGCACTTGTACTAAACTCTGTGTCAACAACCCAAAACTTAATACCCAGCCTAACTGCAGTTTTAACCCCCCCAGGAATGTAACCTTTAACTAGTCAATATGGCATTACCTGATTACTCCTATAGATAATCTGCCCAGTAGACCCCTCTGTCCATTCCCCTTAGGAAGATCCAATCTTTGCTAAAAATTTCCTCTTTTCACCTTCTTTCTGCCCTTAAAAACTTTCCTTTTCTATAATTTAACAGAGCTCCCTTCTGTTGCTAGATGGGATGCTACCTGATTCATGAATCATTAAATAAAGCCAATTTAATCTTTAAATTTATTCAGTTGAATTTTTGCTGTTTAACACTAAGAAGGAATTAAGTTTCTGTTACCCTTATTTCAATCCCTGAAATTTCTCAAGGGATACACAAAACAAAAAGAATTGTTGACATTTGTAGGTTATTACTTTACTTCATTCATTTAAAGAATTCATAAACCTTTCCAAAATCATGAAAGATTCTTCCAGAAGGCACCCAGCTAATGTCATCCTTTCTGCCTTACCTCATATACTTGGCAGACATTACCTAAATTTAGCTATTGTAAGCAGGTAGGAATCTCCATGTGTTTTTAATAACAATGAGGCTCTAGAGACTCCTAACTATAGGAAAAAAACTGAGGGTTGCTGGAGGGGAAGTGGATGGGGGATGGGGTAATTGGTGATGGGCATTAAGGAGGGCACTTGATGTAATGAGCAGTGGGTGTTATATGCAACTGATGAATCAGTAAACTCTACCTCTCAAACTAATAATAAACTATATGTTAATTAACTGAATTTAAATAAAATTTAAAAAAATAATACCGAGGCTCTAAAGCTTCAGTCTATCCTTTCTTGCCCATGAAAGCTTCAGTCTATCCTTTCTTGTCCATACTCTACTGTCAGAAAATCTTTCTTTATATTTAACCCAAAAACCATGATATAATTTAAAGCTTTCTAACTTTCTCTTTTGGAAAGGAATGGATCTGTACCTTAAAGTGCTAATGAAGTTTTGTAAGTTCTTCTGATCTCTTCTCCCTCAAAAGTCTTTTAAAAACCAAGAAGTTTCTTATATTGAGGTATGCTCCCTCTAAACCTACTTTTTGAGGGTTTTTATCATGAATGGATGTTGTACTTTGTCAAATGCTTTTTCTGCATCTATTGAGATCATTTGGTTCTTATCCATTCTTTGATTAATGTGATGTATCATGTTGATTGATTTGTGAATAGTGAACCACCTGGCAACCCAGAATAAATCCCACTTGATCACTGTGAATGATTTTTTTAAGGTACTGTTGGATTTGGTTTGCTACTATTTTATTGAGAATTTTTACATCCATGTTCATCAGGGATATTGGCCTGTAGTTCTCTTTTTTTTAGATGAGTCTTTATCTGGTTTTGGTGTCAGGGTAATGCTGGCCTCATAGAATCAGTTTTTTCTATTTTTTTTAATAGTCTGGAATATTTTGAAAAATAGGTATTAACTCTTCTTTAAATGTTTGGTAGAACTTGCTTGTGAAGCCATCTGGCCCTGGACTTTTGTTTGTTGGGAGTTTTTTGATTATGGATTCAATTTCTTTGCTGGTTATTGGTCTGTTCAAGTTTTCTATTTCTTCCCATTTTAGTTCTGGTAGTTTATATGTTTCTAGGAATTCATCCATTTTCTTCCAGGTTGTCCAATTTGTTGAAAGATTCCACCAAAAAACTGCTAGAACTGATACACAAATTCAGTAAAGTTACAGGGTACAAAATCAATGTACAGAAATCTGTCGCATTTCTATACACTAATAATAAAGTAGCAGAAAGAGAAATTAAGGAATCAGTCCATTCCATTTATAACTGCATCAAAAATAATAAGACACCTAGGAATAACCCTAACCAAAGAGGTAAAAGATCTATACTCTGAAAACTGTAAAACACTGAAAAAAGAAATGGAAGATTACACAAATGGAAAGACATTCCATGCTCATGGATTGGAAGAACAAATATTGTCAAAATGTCTGTAATACCCAAAGCAATCTATACATTTAATGAAATCCCTATCAAAATACAAACAGCATTTTTCACAGAACTAGAACAAACAATTCTAAAATTTGTATGAAACCATAAAAGACTCCAAAGAGCCAAAGCAACCTTGAAAAAAGAAAAGCAAAGCTGGAGGTATCACAATTCCAGACTTCAAGTTATATTACAAAGCTACAGTGATCAAAACAGTATGGTATTGGACAAAAATAGACACACAGCTCAACAGAACAGAATAGGAAACCCAGAAATGAACCCACATCTATATGGTCAATTAATCTTCAACAAGGCAGGAAAGAATATCCAATGGGAAAAAGACAGTCTCTTCAACAAATGGTGTTGTGAAAACTGGACAGCAACATGCAAAATAATGAAACTAGACCATTTTCTTACACCATACACAAAAATAAATTCAAAATGGATGAAAGACCTAAACATGAGACAGAAAACCATCAAAATCCTAGAGGAGAACACAGGAAGCAACCTCTTTGAAATCAGCTGTAGCAACTTCTTTCTAGATATGTCTCCTAAGACAAGGGGAACAAAAGCAAGAATAAAGTAGTGGGACTTCATCAAAATAAAAAGCTTTTGCACAGCAAAGGAAACAATCAACAAAACTAAAACAGCTATAGATTGGGAGACGATATTTGCAAATGACATATCTGATAAAGGGTTAGTATCCAAAATATATAAAGAACTTATAGGGGCACCTGGTAGTTCGGTTGGTTAAGTGTCCAACTCTTGATTTCGGCTCAGGTCATGATCTTGGGATCTTGAGATCAGGCACCATGCTGGGCTCTGTGTTCAGCATGGAATCTGCTTCTTCCCCTCTCTCTGCTCCTTCCCCTGCTCGTGCTCTCTCTCTCTAAAATGAATAAATAAAATCTTAAATAAAATGAAGTCATAAAAGTCAATACCCAAAAAATGAATAATTCAATTAAAAATAGGCAGAAGACATGAATAGACATTTTTCCAAAGAAGACATACCAACATACAAAAACATGAAAAGATACTCAACATCATTCATCATCAGGGAAATACAAATCAAACTACAATGAGATTATCACCTTACATGTGTCAGAATGGCTAAAATCAACAACACAAGAAACAACAAGTGTTGGTGAGGATGTGGAGAAAGCGGAACGCTCTTACACTGTTGGTGGGAATGCAAACTGGTTCAGCCTCTCTAGAAAACAGTATGGAGGCTCCTCAAAAAATTAAATAGAACTACCCTATGATCCAGCAATTGCACTACTAGGTATTTACTTAAAGAATACAAATATACTAATCCCAAGGGATACATGCACCCCAATGTTTATAGCAGCATTATCTACAAAGCCATATTATGGAAAAAGCCCAAATGTCCATCAACTGATGAATGGATAAAGAAGATGCAGTATATATACAATGGAATATTATTCAGCCATAAAAAAGAATGAAATCTTGCCATTTGCAACAACATGGATAGAGTCAGAGAGTATTGTGCTAAGCAAAATAAGTCAGTCAGAGAAAGACAAATACCATATGGTTTCACTCATATGTGGAACTTAAGAAACAAAACAAATGAGCAAAAGGGAAAAAAAGAGAGAGAGAGGCAAACAAAGAAATAGACTCTTAACTATAGAGAACAAACTGATGATTACCAGAGGGGAGGTGAGTAGAGGGATGAGTTAAATAGATGATGGGGATTAAGGAGTACATTTGTTGTGATGAGCACCAGGTGTTGAATAGAAGTGTTGAATCACTATATTATACACCTGAAACTAATATAATATTAGCTACACTGTATGTTAGCTAATTGGAATTTAAATAAAAACTAAAAAAATCCCCAGAAGTTTCAATAATATCAAATTAACATCTATAGGAAGTCACTGTTATTAAAATCATATAATACCAATATACATTTGTTTGTCAATAATGATAAATTATTAATGAATAGAATATTTATAAGAGTAAAACTTAGTCATCAAAATGTCAATATAAAAATGCAATTAAGAAACACAAAACTATTTTTGTGCCTCTAGTCACAAAGAACAAATCTTGTGTAAGAAAAAGTGAATTCTATTGACTTTGCCACTAACTTAAGAAATGTGCTTCAGGGGCGCCTGGGTGGCTCAACTGGTTAAGCACCTGCCTTCAGCTCAGGTTATGATCCCAGCATCCTGGTCTAGCCCCAAGTTGGGCTCCCTGCTCAGCAGGGAGTCTGCTTCTCCCTCCCCCTGCTCTTGGGCTCTTGCCCACTCTCTCTCTCCCTCTCAAATAAATAAACAAAATCTTAAAAAAAAAAAAAGTGCTTCAACTGAAAAACAGGTGTTGGCTAGCTCTTATGAATTCTTTCTTTGTCAGGGATTGTAAATGACAAGGAAATTCTCCAATTTGGGAGAAGAAAAACTTAACTATGGAAAAAAGAAAGGATACTAGGAAGACAGATCAAATTCTTTCTAGTTTAGAGAACCACAATATATGAAGAATCCGAACTTAAGAATTTCCATAGCATTTTATCTGAACTTCTTTGATGAAGCTTTTAACTGAATACATTGTATCATAATTATTACAAACATGTCTTATCTTCTAAACTGGAATTACAGAACCATTGATTTGAATCACTCCAGTTCTTATCAAGCACTTATACAGAAGAGCAAAACAGAGTTCCTGTTCTAGGATTAGTGCCGTACTCCAATTCATTGGGTAGAAAGTCTGTGTTGGAAATATTCATAGATGTCACATAAACTCAGAGGCAGCTAACCCTATCTGATTAGTAAAGATGTATGGAGGAGTTTAAGTCCTGTGGGAATTCACAATGCCTGGCTAGCTAAGATATGATAAACACAATCCTCCTTGGGAGAGGTTAATTTTAAAGAAAAGAAGGAGTGACCAGAACAATGCCTGGCTAGCTAATATATGATAAATACAATCTTCCTTGGGAGAAGCTAGTTGAAAATCAAAGAAGGAGTGGCCAGAAAACTGGGCCTCCTTTTAGGTTTTTGGACTGAAAACAGCCAGATCCTATTTGTGGCTCAATGCTATCTCCCAGGAGACAGATACTTACGTTAGGTTAGACATAAATCCTTAATAGTCACCTACTCCCTGCCCACAAGCCACAAACTCGGATAGTTCTAATCTCACAATGCCTGTAAATGTCACCATCCTAGTTATTGAAACATTGCATTCCTTTCAAATCTTGAGTCTTTGATAACATACATAATAAAAATGGAGGTAGAGTTTGGCTCAGGGCCTTTCGCCACTAGAGTGTCTGGTCCCCAGGCCCTCTCCTTTCTCCCTTGGGTGTCTGCAGTAATCTTTTAATTCACCATCTCAGGGTTTGCTGGCCAGACCTGACAAAGTCCAACAAATTTTAGCAAGGTGAAGAAAGACAAGGGAGCAGGGTAGGTATCCTTGTAATGGGAAACAATGTAAGTAAAGGAAGGGAGATAGAAACATCTTTTTAGAGTGGTGTTGAGGAAGCTCACAATATTAGGCAAGAGTAAAAGATAAAGGTAAAGATGTAGACAGGAACCAGACACTGGAGTAGAATTATATGAAATTCTTATAAGTGATTCCATACTGCTCTATCCATGCCAGCACTGGGCATGTGTATTTGATTTTTTTTCCCCCTAATTTAGTAGCTCCCTAAATTACCAGAGCTCCACCTCTCCCTAGAAAACACACAAAGCAGAACACCTTTATGCTCCTTCCCCACTACAGGTCATTTGATGTGGGACTGAAAGCCTGTTTCAGTCTCACAATCTCCTTCACTATTTCTCTCAGGAAGCCTAGGGATGCTTGTGAAAATGGAATTTGTTATGGTTTCCTTTCTTATACTAGAACTCTTTGGGTAGGTCTGCCCAGTGTAGCTATTGTTCTGTATATACTACCCATTGTGTCTCACACATATAGTATATATTCAGTAAATATTAATAGATATTTACTGTCAATCAATCAATCAATCTTGCCTGGTGCATACTAAAGCACTCAATAAATATGTTTTAAATATGAGTGAATAATAATAACAAAGTTAATAACATGTAAAAAATGTAAATTATCTTGAGATTAAACTGCTGGAAAAGGATGAGACCAGTATATGAGCAGAAATTATTAAATTCTAAGTCACATGTTTGAGATCAGTGGTCTAAAAATTAATAAAAGGAAGACAATATTAAGTCCAAGAAAATGTATGAGGAAGTGGAAACATAAGTTGTATCTTAAAGGATAGGTAAGCGGTGATTTTTAATCACTCTCTATATTATACAGATAAATGGTGGGGTTCGGGTAAGGAAAGTTAGAACATTTTTATGACAAAGGCCCAGGAACAAAAATATACAGAGTTCATATTTGAGGATCCCAAGTTATCCGCCTCATGTTCTCCGTCTTTAATAGAGAAGTCACCAGTCTTTGGTAGATTTACTCCATTCCACTGTTCTCCATGGCCATAGATTCAAAGGCTTGGAAATTACATAGCTTTTCCCCTGCCACAAACCTGCTAACAGTGTCATCAATTATTTTCACCCAGGGCAACAACACAGTAACTGTTCTATGGTTCATCTGAGATTGATAATATGCCTCACAGATCTGGAGATGAAGACTTTAGACCAATGATTTATAGATGTAAATTCATGTGCATTTTTTCCAGTATCCCACAATAATACATTTACTATGCAGTTAGTCTTTTGATGTGAACTGTCGGAAGATATATTGGACAATACATCAGACTGAGCAGAGCAACAAGCCTTTTGCTAAACATGAAATCATGATCCAATTTCTGCAATAAAAAGTGATTCAGAGATTCTCTGCAGCATTCCATATTCGGAAAGCTACCTGAGTGAAAGGAGATTATATGTAATAGAAGCAAACAGTGAAGGATTACTCATAAGCATAAGTTTGTGGAGAATAATACATCTTTAAGTACAGTAGTTAAAACAACAATCCAAAAAAATCAAAAGACTAGACTGGAAAAACAGGTATAAACTTGAAGATACAGTTCATTAGAAGGTCTATAAAACCAAATCTCTAACTCTACTGTCAGGAGAGAAAAAGAGAGAAAGACATACTATTTTAGAACAATTTACCTATCTATCTACTATCTATCTATGTATCTCTCTATCATTTGTCTATCTGTTATTTATCTACCCATCATCTACAATTTTAACTTCTTGTTTTCTTATATTGCTTTACTTCTAAAAGATGCCAGCCTACATAATTCCTAGAGTAAAAATTTTTGCTGTGATGCTAAAAATTGCCTTATTGGTTCTATTTATTTTATATCCACTTTAGGTTTTAGTAAAAAAATAAATATGCAGATTATTTTATTATACTTCAAACCAGTATAGCTATGCTTTTTCACATTTTACTGAAGAATAATATCATATATATAATACAGAAAGTGCGTATTTCATAAACTACTCATAGCCATATAATGAACCTGGACAGAAATCACAAAATGGTCCAAAGTATTCTTTAATGAGTATGTCTTAATTATACAAAAGATCAAAACACCCAGTCTTCTATATCATCTATGATAGTAAAGTCTATATAAGAGTCCTAAAAATACTGAAAATGCACTGAGCTTTCAGAATACTTCATCTCATAACTGCCTTCATTAAATTTATTATTCTTTGAAGTTGCTGCAACAAAATAAGTGAAATCTCTCTCTGTTGTTAAATTAAAAACATATCATAGAACTATATCCCCAATTGTATTACTTACATATTTCTGCATAACAATATTAACACGAACTTTGAAGCTAAAAATGATATAGATCTATTACTTCACAGTATCTATGGGTCAGGAATATAGGCAAGATCTAGCTCCGTCCCCTGCAAGCCTGCAATCTAAGTGTCAGACATGACTGCGTTTCATCTGGGAAAA